GGAAGGTTAGGTTAGGTTAGGTTGGAGTTGATATACGTAGTTATTTATAGTATTAATATTAAAGGGTAATTGATTAGTTAAAATATTGTACGTGGTTTAAAGGCATATGTACGTAAGTCGTTATTTGAGTGTTGTAGTTAACAACGGATTAAGATACTGTACGTAGTTTAAGGATGAGTGTACTCAAGTAGTGCCTTGTTATCAATGTTCAAAGGGAATAGTACGTGAACACGTTAGGATTTGAGTGGTAGTGTTCATCATGTGTTGAAATCCTAGGAGCTTTAGACATCAGTGCATTCCAATACTGTTATTTTGACACTGCAAGGTTCAGATTACTTGGAGATATGACCAAAAAACACAGAAATTTTTAAGTTTCATTATTATGTTGGATATAAACTTAAAAAATCTGTAAAATCTGTAAAAAAAAGAACTAAGTCAAAATCGGAATACAAAAAGGATTTCCAGATTATTAAACATCGATTCATTATAATGGTGATAAATGGAGGAAAAAAATAGGATAATTCTTAATAAACTTGTTTCTATCTCCCCGAAGTTTCTGACGATGGATCTTGTCAACACGGTGTTGTCTTCGTCAGGTGTGTGAGCGAAGATTACTTATCTGGAGGAGTAGCAGCAGAAGGAGGACTCATGAGCCAGGTTGAGGGGTACCGGAAGGCGAGCTTCGCGTTCCTCCTGTGTTTGGTAGTCACCTGCTGGACGACGTCAGGTGAATGTGTCTATCTGTCTGTCCCTCCCTCCCTCCCTCTCTGACTCCCTCTCTCCTTCTCTCCCTCCCTCCCTCCCTTCCTCCCTCTCTGCCTCTCCCTCTCCTTCTCTCCCTCCCTCATTGGTCCTCAAGTCACACTCCCATCAACACATACCGGCTGAATAACACATGTTCTACACGAATCACACTTACCCCCTGAATGACACACACACACACACACACACACACACACAAACACACACACACACACACACACACACACAGAGTTCTTCCATAGTGAATGGGAAAGAAATGGCTTGTCAGAGATGTGATAGAGTATTGTTAATGATTTCTGGTCCAGGAGGTGTGAGAGAGAGAGAGAGAGAGAGTCAGACAGACAGTGAGATTCATGCTACAGTGTGATAGTCTTTGTCATAATTAACAAGTATTGATTCAGGTGAGGAGTCTTCCCTACCCGTCTCTAGCACCTGTATGGACTTTGAATCACCTTTTATTGTTTTCACCTGTAATTAGGGAGACATGTGTGTTATTTATCATTATTTTTAACCAGTATTTGTAGTTCTGTCGTGGCATTTAATTGAAGATAAATTGTATTAATGTATTTCTGTGTATTTTTGTATAGGTATGGGTGAATATAGACGATTAATGTTTACTCTCTCTCTCTCTCTCTCTCTCTCTCTCTCTCTCTCTCTCTCTCTCTCTCTCTCTCTCTCCCTTAACAGGAGGCGCCAACATAACAGTGGTAACTATTCAGACCGATGAACAAGCCACGACGGACGATTTCCTGGACACCGGACTAGGCGTCGTTCCCTCACTCACCCAGGTAAGCACAACACCTTAATTAACTCCGGCTTAGGTTAGCTTAGGTTAGGTTTAATTGCCACTCCCCCTTCCCCTCCCCTCCCTGGTCATAGTAATAGTAGGTAGTTATAATCCAGCATCAGGTTACAGTTAGATATAAAGTTTTTAAAAGATGAATTCAAAGTTTTGACTATATTTGAAGTTAATAAAGTCAAATTTATAGTCTTATATTAGAGAATTATGAAGTCAAAATAATAATCAGAGTTATACATAGATGATGTAATTTAGGATCAGTAACTTCACCTCTTACCTGTTTGTTTATTACAGGTGACGATATGTGTCAGATATCGTCTACTGCACGTTGGGCCGGACAACGGGCCAATACTGAGTTACTTCGCTGATGGCTACGATAATGAGATACAACTGTGTACGTGTGTTATGTTCCTTACCTCTGATGACTTCACACGGGGTTAGAGAGGAAGGCTGGCGATATATGATGATAAGTCATTATGAACCTATAAAATATAACGATGTTTTCACCATTAGTTATCTTATTATGATAACAATAACCTGTCTCGATTATTGATAACATTTATTGATTAATGTCCTCAGTGAATATGGGTGGTAATTGTGCTAACGTCATCTTATCTTCCTCTAAACACACACACACACAACAGGGGTGAACTGGAGGCGGCAGATAGTGGAGTTTATGTGCTGTAAATACCGCCTCCAAGTGGAGATGTCCCTCCCTGTCGAGATGTACAAGTGGCACCATGTGTGTTATGCTGTTGACCTTCATTCCATGAGGTCCTGGCTGGCTTATGACGATCTGGTGAGTAATTTGGTGTGTGTGTGTGTGTGTGTGTCTGTGTGTGTCTGTGTGTAAAATAATAATAATAATAATAATAAACGGTTTATTGAAAAAGTTTGCAGCCCGAAGGCTGAAAATATACATTGGACATAAATGACTTATTACATACATTGTTGGTTTAACAAAAGCTTTCATTAGAGAAAGGTGAAGGAACATATACAGTGAACATACAGTTTAATGTTTACACACGTAGATAATGTGAGCTGAGGTGTCGAACATAAGAACATAAGAACATAAGAATGGAGGAAACTGCAGCGGGCCTATTGGCCTCTACTGGGCAGTTACCGTTTACACCCAACCCCTATTGCTCATATAAGCATCCAACCTATGTTTGAAGCTATTCAGCATATTCGAGTTAATGATGATATTTGGTAACTTGTTCCATTCATCCACTACTCTGTTTCCAAACCAGTGTTTACCTATTTCACGCCTAAATCTAAATTTGTCTAATTTAAGACCTTTGTTACGAGTTCGCTCCTTGTTGACTAGTTTGAGTACCTTTGTAATGTCCCCTTTGTTTAGCCCTGACTTCCACTTATACACCTCTATCAGGTCGCCTCTCGCTCTACGTCTCTCGAGGGAGTGCAAATTAAGATGCTTTAACCTGTCTCTATACTCAAGGTTCCTAATGCCCGGGATTAGTCTTGTCATTCTCCTCTGAATTCTTTCCAATGATTCTATATCCATTCTGTAATACGGTGACCAGAACTGAACTGCTTAATCCAGGTGTGGTCTCACAAGCGCAAGATACAGTTTTAGGATGACCTCTCTAGTCTTGTAACTAACACTCCTTTGTATGAACCCGAGTACTTTATTAGCCTTGTTACGAGCAAAAACACATTGTTTACTTGGGTTAAGGTTCCTACTTATCATTACTCCTAAATCTCTCTCGAAGTCGGATTTCTCTATGGCATCGTTGTTCATCTGGTATCTGGTTTCCCTGTTTACATCCCCTACACTGAGTACTTTACATTTGTCCACGTTGAATTTCATCTGCCATTTTTCAAACCATTCGAAATTTTTTTTTAGATCTTCCTGTAGTTTTGCGGAGTCCTCGTCAGATTTAATAACACGTCCTATTTTAGTGTCATCAGCAAATTTATTTATGTTGCTGTCTATGCCGAAATCTATGTCGTTTACGTATATAATACATAATAATGGTCCAAGTACTGAGCCTTGGGGAACTCCACTTGTGACGTTGCTCCAAAGGGACTTAGTGCCCTTAATGCTCACTCCCTGTTTCCTCTCCTGTAACCACGCCCTAATCCATTTAAGGATGTTACCTTTGATGCCATGTGCTTCTACCTTTCTAATTAGTCTTTCGTGGGGGACTCTGTCGAAGGCTTTGCTAAAGTCGAGATATACCACATCATAATTGTGCCCCTCGTCCACCGATTCGAAAACTAATGAAAAGAATGTTAACAGATTAGTTAGACAAGAACGTCCACTTGTGAAGCCAGGCTGGGAATCATTGATGAATCGGTGCTTCTCCAGGTGATTTCGAATAGAGTTTGAAATGATTGCTTCCAGTAATTTGCCTACTATTGATGTTAGACTGATTGGGCGGTAGCTAGAGGATAGTGATCTATCCCCCTTCTTGAAAATCGGTAATACATTCGCTATCCTCCAGGATTCTGGTACTACACCTGCTTTTAAGGACATGTTAAACAACTTTGCTAAGGGCATACTAAGCTCTTCCTTACATTCCTTTAATACTCTGGCAAATATCTCATCGGGACCAGGTGACTTATTAGGCTTTAGTTTGCCTATTTGCTTACTAACATCGTTACTAGTCACTACTATTTCGCTTAATTTGTTTTCTTCACTATCTCTGAATAGAGCCGGTGCCTGGGGTATCATGTTTAAATTTTCGGTGGTGAAAACTGTTGAAAAATATTTATTCAAATTATTGCTCATTTCTCCGTCGTTATCAGTGAGCTCGCCGGTATCTGACCGTATTGGTCCAATCTTTTCTCGTGTTTTTGTTTGATACATTTGGTAGAATCCTTTGGGGTTTGTCTTCGCCTCCCTTGCTATCCTTACCTCATTATTCCTCTTGGATTTCCTTATCTCGGTTTTAACCCTACTCGCCAATATCTTATAATAATCCTGGAGGTAAATTTCGCCATGCTTTATCCTTCTACCTATAGCCTTCCTTTGGCCAATGATGTTCTTTAAATAATTATTTATCCATTTAGGGTCATTGTTGTCTGATCTGAGTTTTTTGTATGGTATGTTCTGCCTTTGTGCATTAAGTAACTCATTATTTAAATTGTCGTGGAACTCAGCAATCTCAGATGTCGTTATCAGGTCGGAGTTGTCTGTCGTGTTCACGGCCAAGCGCGACACCCCCTCTCTCAGCTGCCTCTTTAAACTGTCAAAGTTTGCTCTTCTGAAATCTGGGACTTTAGTGGAATTTTCCTTTCGTCTACCCTGAAAATCTAACTGGAATCTAATTTCTTTGTGATCGCTGTTTGCAAATTTATTCCCTTCCTCGACAATGCTAATGAGGTTTTCTCTGTTCGACAGAACTAAATCGAGTATATTATTACCCCGTGTGGGTTCGGTTATATGTTGACTTAGGAAACAGTCCTGAATCGTCTCGAGAAAATCCTCTGATTCTGAGTTGCCCGTAAGGTCAATCCAATCTATTTGGCCAAGGTTAAAGTCGCCTACTATACAGACTTTGTTGTGTATGGAAGCCCTGCGCATTTCATCCCAGATAAGTCGCTCATTGACTCTATCAAGATTGGGAGGTCTATATATTACTCCTGTGATTAATTTTTCCCTACCGTCGCTTAATTCTATCCAAATTGTTTCTGTATTCCGCTCAGATTTTATTTCCTTATTTATTTCACACTTCAGATTATCCCTAACATAGATTGCTACTCCGCCTCCTTTCCTGGTCTGCCTATCGGTATGGAACAATTTGTAACCCGCAATTTGGTATTCGACCGGCAACTCACGTGAGTCTAGGTTGATCCATGTTTCAGTGAATGCTATTATATCGATTTTTTCAGTACAAACCAAGGCCCTAATATCATCCATTTTGTTTCTCATACTTCTACTGTTCGCGTAGTGGACATTTAAGTTAGTCGTGTTCTGAGTCCTCCCTTTACCGCGTTTAGTTTTAAACTCCCTGTTTAATATAGTTTTGTCATCATTCTTAACACTATTGCCCTGTAATCTTTTACTTTGTTTACCCGCTCCCACTGCAGTTTCCCCCACCCCCGTGCCCATATGTTCCCCTAGCAGTTTAAAGACTTCGATATCCTTTGAACTGCCCCCTCTAGAGACACAGCACTTAACTGACAACAGATGTCACTCAGGAACTCAGTAATGATGAATCAGGCATGAGCTGTCTCGAACGTGTAGACCCGGCGTAGACGTAGAAGTGAATGCTTGTAGAAGTAGGTAGATGCCGTAACTTGTTAGTAAGTCATAGACACTGTAACTCTCTTCAGAGGTTAGGAATTATCCCATAAAACTGCCACCACCTGTAAGCCTGTAAACCTGTAAGGCCGATGCAAGGTGGGACTTGCCAGGAGAACGTCCCACTTAAAAGTAATTTGCTTGTAGTTGTTTAGAGTCCCGTTGTGATCAACAAAATGTCGGAGACTGTCGCTACTTAATATCTACCTTGGTTTCACGTCTTCCATAAAAGTGGGTTAGTTATACACGACACTTATGTATGTACAACGTGTATTTACAGATCCACTCTACAACTGTACAGAGAAATAGGCTGGCCCCGTGATCTAGTACTGAGGTGGTCCCAGTGTTAGTTGCTCTAGAACTGAGGTTTTCTCATTGTTAGGCGTCCTTGTACTGAGGTGGTCTTAGTGATAGAGGTGTGCGGTGTGGGGTCCAGCAAAAGCCTAACTCAAGTGCTTGCCGTTTGCCACGCCAGGGGAGAGTACTTCATACACGCACCACTAGAGTGATCCATGAGTCAAGCTTTTAGAAGGTATTCGAAGGAGGAAATAATCACCTCCCTGGAATGTACTGCCGACCACCATTCAGCTGTGTTGATGTTATGTTTTATAAATAACCAGCTGGAAATGATCTCGTTGACCCATGACTCACTCTTACTGACGGTGCTACTATCTATATACAATACATTAATTATCTAACTATCTAAAATACTTGATGCATTGCAAGTGTGAAGAAAAGTGCCCAATTACCAAATATGAGCAATTAAGTCAGTGTTCAAAGAATTACCTAATTACTCAGAGGAGGGTTGCATCATACTGCGACACTTAAGCGTAGTCATAACACTCTGCCTGTCAGCCCGACTGAAGCCGGCTGCTACGTCTTACGCCGAGCGATATAACCTATGAACAACCTCTACCCTCTACAGGTCATTGAATAATGAATGCTCTTTATTATACATCTATGGATGTGAATTAAGTACGTACTCTAAATTATACAGTATGTAAATTATACTGGTGACAAGTGTGTGTGTGTGTGTGTGTGTCTTAATGAATCAATGTTGCATCTTGTCATTTGTACCTTTATGTTTTGCCTCGACCTCAAAGGGTTAAAATCTATGGTGGTGGTGGTGGCTGTTGCAGTACCGGGAGGCGACGGTGAAGACAGAGTCTCCTGAGCAACTGAATATCGCTGGTGGCGGGCGCTTCGTCATGAACCAAGACCTGGACAACATTGAGGGAGGTTTCAACGTCCGTCAGAGTGTTCACAACGACGTGGCTCAACTCCTCCTGTACCGTGAGGTTCTGCCCCCTGCCTACCTCAAGGCCTACGTCAAATGCCAGGAACCTGAGACCAACGTGAAGCCATTTCTCTACTTCGACGAGGGCATGACCATGTTCACCCAAAGAGGTCGTGTCCGTGTTTCTGTGGCGCCGCTGGAATCCCTCTGTCAGGAAGACGCCAGCAGACTTGTGATGCTCCCGGAGAAAATGAATTTTGATTCCGCCTTCGCCGCCTGTTCCGGGATGAAGGGGTTGATGGCTATACCGACCAGCGAGGAGGAAAACACCCAAATATTCGACGAATTTTTTAAGTTTAATGACCTGTGTGTGGATTCCTTCGGGACGCTCTACTGGCTCGGGTTTAAAGGTGACCTCAACACTGATGAATGGCTGACCGTGAACACCAACCAGCACCTCACTTGGGATAAACTAGCCACCGGGTTTGATAAAGTCAAAGCAGGTCAGTTGTGTGCTAGTGTAGGCGGCGCTGACTTCCCCTATGACTGGTACAGCACACCTTGCCAGTACCTCATGTGTCCTCTCTGTAACTTCACCGCTACACCATCGTTCAGAGTGCGGGGACTGTGTAAGGATTCAGTTATCGACAGAAATCTCTTCCTTAGAGATTATGAAAACAACAAACCACAATTCCATGGGCCGCATTTCACTGGCGTCTCCTGGGACAGGGACAACGCCACCTGGAAGTTGACAAGTAGAGGCCACGAGAACCTGACGGGTTATATGGTGATGAAGGTCCCCACCGAATATCCTGTCGGCGTTCACTCCTGGATCATCACAGGCGACAAGTGTGTTGCGAGTGAGGTAAGACGGTGAAAGCTAGCTCTCTGTCTGTCTGTTTGTCTGTCTCGTCTCTCTCTCTCTCTCTCTCTCTCTCTCTCTATTTTTGTGAATGACATAAAAGTACCCCAAAACTCATTAGTTTCTTGTGTCTTCCGTATTAGTTCAGTGTTAGAAGGGAACACTAAAACCATTCTTATCTTATCATATACCTGAAGCTGGAGGTGTTGATAACGGCGTGTGGTGAGGAGGAGTACACCTGCAACGACGGCGCCTGCATCAGCAAGACACAACGCTGTGATTTGGCAACTAACTGCCCCGACAGGAGTGACGAGCTGAACTGCCACCTGGCACAAATCCCCAGCGGCTACTCCCTGGAGATGCCTCCACCTAAGGATCAAAACACGCCAGTTCCCGTCCGCATCCTCGTCGAAATCACCTCCGTCAGGAAGATCGATATCCTGGGCTTCAAGATGGTGCTGGACATCATTCTAAGACTGTTCTGGCGGGACGGGAGACTGAGCATGAAGAACCTGAGGAAGGATCTTAACTCTAACAAAGTCCAAGATCTGAAGAAACTGTGGATACCGCTACTACAGGTTGAGGACGGGGCGAGGAGTCTGGCGGACCTCTTGCTCAGGTCGGAGTCGCTGTTGGTGCAGAGGGAGGGGAGCCCCACCGCTGACGACGACTCTAGACTGTACGAAGGTAAAACACTGCAGCTTGACATTGGTTTTTCTTCTGTGTGTTTGTTATTGTTGTTGTTTTATGGTCGCTAACACCAGGTGACTCTCTCTCTCTCTCTCTCTCTCTCTCTCTCTCTCTCAAATACCTGTCCTAGGGCCCTGCACCCTTATCATACCCTCCCTCAAACATCTCTCCTACGACCTCCCTGTATCCTCCCTGTACTGTATCCTGCAGACGACGTGTACCTGGGCTCGGAGAACACGATGATGCTGTACCAGGTGTATACAGTCGACTTCACCTGTCAGTTCCAGTTACGGCTGTACCCGTTTGATTCTCAGGTGTGCTCCGTCGCCTTCAGTCTAATTGGTGTCTCTCCCTCCTTCGTCATCCTAGATAAGGTGAGTGAATCCTTCGAGGTTCATAGGATGTGAGTGAGTCCTTCCATGTTCATCATAGTATAAGAGAGTCCTTCGTAACTCTCTCTCTCTCTCTCTCTCCCTCACTCTCTCTCTCTCTCTCTCTCTATCACTCACTTTCTCTCTCTCTCTCTCTCTCTCTCTGTCTCTTTCTCTCTCTCTCTCTCTATCACTCTCTCTCTCTCTCTCTCTCTCTCTCTCACTCCACTCTCTCTCTCTCTCTCTATCCTCCTCTCTCTCTCTCCCTCTCTCTCTCTCTCTCTCTCTCTCTCTCTCTCTCTCTCTCTCACTCACTTTCTCTCTCTCTCTATCACTCACTTCTCTCTCTCTCTCTCATCTCTTTCTCTCTCTCTCTCTCTCTCTATCCTCTCTCTCTCTCTCTACTCTCTCTCTCTCTCTCTCTCTCTCTCTCACTCTCTCTCTCCTCTCTCTCTCTCTCTCTCTCTCTCTCTCTCTCTCTCTCTCTCTCTCTCTCTCTCTCTCTCTCTCTCTCTATCATCCTCTCTCTCTCTCTCTCTCTCTCTCTCTCTCTCTCTCCTATCACTCTCTCATCATATCTCTCTCTCTCTCTCTCTCTCTCTCTCTCATACCATAGCGTGTTAGGTTAGGTATTTCCTAATCCCCTGTCCTAAATAAAACAGGTCCCATTAGAGAGAGAACTGTACTGCGTTTTTCTGAGTGAGAGAGAGAGAGAGAGAGAGTCCAGTCTTCAAGTCCTACTCTGCCGCAGGAGGAAGACGGTGTGATCTTCACGGGCAAGAAGAAGCTGTTGGAGTACGAGGTCACGTCCTTCACCATGACCCCTGTGGATGACCCTCTCAAGTCCGGTCAGAGGGTAAGGTCAATCGAGGTCATCTATTGTCGTTTTTATACTCCTTTACGCCTAGTACATTATCAGATTAATTTAATTTTTCCCCTTTCTTTTCGTCTTATCTACGCAGTTATACATATGTATACATTCATACATAGCTAAATAGTCGATGCATCGTAGTAGAGTTCTGTATATTTACGCACTTATATACGATATATCTTATGTATTTGGATAATTTAACTACTCTAGTACAGATGTGTTATGTATAGTTTACGAAATTACGCACTTATGCATTCACGCACTTACGCATGCGCTCACGCACTTATGATCTGAGCTATAGGACCTACTCAGGCTTGTGGGTGGCTTTCGTGTCAGTAGGTAGCACTTAAGACTAAAAGAAGTGTGTGTGTGTGTGTGTGTGTGTGTGTGTGTGTCTTCATCTATAAATACACACCAATCATAGTACAGTTCGTGTTGAAGTGTGTAGAGCTGAGTGAGATAGTCAGGTAATTTTGTCTTTACTCTCTCTCTCTCTCTCTCTCTCTCTCTCTCTCTCCTTTGCTCGTGTATTGTGTCGCTTTCATCCATAAATTCTATATATTAATTAGAATTCACTCAAAGATCACTCTCATAAACTCCTCAGCATTCACTCTCAGCTCAACACCTCACTGGGAAACTTACCTCAGTACTCGTAGTAGATTGTAACATCTACTTGTGTTTCCCTCCTACAGGTGTCGCTGAAGCTGAAGAACCTCTCCGGGTACTACATCAGCAGCACCTATGTACCCACTCTCCTCTTGGTCACCATCTGTTACCTTACACTCTACTTCGACATTGCTGACTTTACGGTATTTATTCATGGGTACTACTACTACTGCTACTACTACTACTGTGATAAATCGGGTCTAGCTTTGGGTTTCATGTACGGCTGAGTTTTTGGACTAAGTATTTCTTGGGTCTTGACACTTCTAAAATGGGTCTTAGTTCTGGTTATTTAGATAATGGGTCTTAGGTTTGGCCTTTTAACATAAGAACATAAGAAAATAAGGAGTCTGCAATAGACCGGTTGGCCTGTGCACGGCAGCTCCTGTCGTGAGTTACAACCACTCTCTATCATCCATGGATCTATCCAGCCTCTTTTTGAAACTTTCCAGCGTTCCAGCATTTACTACAAAGAAGCTAAGCTTGTTCCACTCGTCCACTACCCTATTTGTGAACCAGTTCCTTCCTATCTCCCTCCTAAGCCTAAACTTATCCAATTTAAATCCGTTGCTACGAGTCCTATCCTGCTCTGATATTATAAGAACTTTCTCAATATCCCATTTATTGATTCCTTTCACCCACTTAAATACTTCTATCATACCTCCCTGCACTCTTCGTCTTTCTAGGGAATGCAAGTTTAGTTTCTTTAACCTATCCTGATAAGGAAGGTTTCCAAGTCCCGGAATCATTTTCGTCATTCTTCGTTGCACCGACTCTAGTGAATTGATATCCATTCTATAATAAGGGCACCAGAACTGAACCGCATAATCGAGGTGCGGCCTGACTAGCGCAAGATAAAGTTGCAATAAGACCTCTGCATTCTTATTACTTACACTTCTAGATATAATACCTAATACTCTGTTTGCCTTATTTCGAACATTAACGCACTGTTTTCTAGGCCGTAGGTCCGGGCTTACAAGTACCCCTAGGTCTCTTTCACAAGTCGACTTCTCTAGGTTGATGTTGTTAAGGCTGTATACATTGACAAAATTTGTTCTTCCAATATTAAGTACGCTGCACTTGCTGGTGTTGAATTTCATTTGCCATATTTCAGACCACCCCTGCAGTTTATTTAGATCCTCCTGTTATGCATTTGCATCCTGGCCTGAATTAATCTGCCGTCCTATTTTGGTGTCATCCGCAAACTTGCTTATGTCACTGCTGATCCCAGTATCTAGATCGTTTATGTAGATTATCAACAAGAGTGGGCCTAGTACTGACCTCTGGGGAACCCCACTGGTTACACGGCCCAACTCAGATTTAACACCATCTACTCTGACCCTCTGCGTTCTATCGGTGAGCCATGATTTTATCCAATTTAAAACTTTCCCCTCGATACCATGAGCCTTAATTTTTCTCAGAAGCCTCTGATGCGGTACTCTGTCAAATGCTTTGCTAAAGTCTAAGTAAATATCATCGTAATTTTCGTCATTATCTACTACCTCGAAGACTTTCCTAAAAAACGTCAGCAGATTTGTTAGAACAAGATTTTCCCTTTATAAACCCATGTTGAGAGTCGTAGATTAATTTGCTTTTCTCTAAATGCGATCGGATGCTATTTGCTATTATACTTCCAGACTGGGGTCACTAATTCTAAGGGGGAATACTTAACTCTAATCTTAATTTCTAAGGGTCGCTGCCACCAGACCCCCTCTGGACAGTATGTAACTCGTTAGGTAGCGTGCAGAGTGGACTAGGCATTGGGTTAGGCTTTCCATTGACCAGATCGATAAGGGGAAAGAAGGGTGAAACCATAACTTGTCTTAATTAACTTATTCCTTATAAAGCATACTGGTAAAAAACATACAAATGAGTTGGTGTTCCTCAGAAGAACAACGAAAATGTTGGTTACCCAGATGGGCACCAGACGTCTTACATTAATGGCGTGTCATCCACATACTTATTGCAGAACAAT